TTCATAGGTAAGAATTAAGAAAATGAATAATTTATAATTTGGAGTATTTTGAAACATTTAAAATTATTACTTTGATGATTTTGAAAATTTCAGGTACATTAGACCTCATCTTGAGTACTGCATTTCTGTAAATACTATCTTGAATCCACAGATACTTATCTTTTTTTGGTTAGCATCCAGCCAGTAAACCAATGAAACGATCCTACTATTCTAGGACAGGGGCCAGGAACCCGGTCATATTGCTTAAAGTGACTCACTCGCCTCCTCATGTAAAATGTATTCAGCTACTGGTCCCTAGATACTTCTCTGAGATAGCACTTTAAATTGTTCCCTTTGGAATTGCTTAAGTATCATCAAGAAATAAATTAGAAGATAAAATCAAGTATGTCTAATACAACCCAACAAGGCAGTGTATCTCAGTAGGGCCCTCAGGACCATCTATCAGAACCACCAGATTTCTAGACAAAAACTAAAACAGATCACTAGAATTTGTAGGTTTGGGCCCTGGAATCTGCATTTTACCAGTGTTCATGGTTATTCCTAAGTACTCACTGATGAAGAACAGAGCTAGCTTTTTTTTTTTATTTTTTTTAAGATGGAGTCTGATATAACCCAGACTGGCCTCAAACTTGTATAGTTGAAGGTGATCTTGAACCTCAGATCCTCAGCTCCCAAATGCTGGGATTACAGGCATGTGCCACCCATCACACCTGGTTTATGTGGTGCTGGGGCTTCATGTATGCTACAATCACTTTACATCTGAACTACATCCCCATCCCAACCCTAACCTTTAATAGCCCTTATTCTGTTAAGCTTCATTGTAAATAAATACATAAATAATTCAGACGTACTGATTCTGATATCAAAACAAATAACTAGATTTTATTAAGTGTCTTTCCAATTTACAAATAATAAATCCATAATCCTTTTCCTAGGTTAAAATGATAATTTAATTCACTAATAATTAATAGTAATGGGCCTGGGGAGATAATTCAGGTAAGAGCCCTGGCTGTGAAAGCGTAAGGACCTGAATTCTGATCTCCACCACCCACATAAAAAGCCAGGCATGACTGTGGGTGCCTGTAACCCCAGCATTGAGGGGGGCAAAGACAGGTAGATCCCAAGAGCTCACTGACCAGCCAGCCTAGCCATAACAAAGAGCTGATTCAGTGAGAGAACCTGTCTCAAGGCAGTAACTTGAGGCATAATAGAGGAAGACTCTCAAAGTCCTCCTCTGGCCTCCACATGTGCATGCATGGGTGCATGCATCCACACACGTGTGCACCACACACATGCACAAAAAAAACCTAGTAATAAGTATGACAACGGCACTAGATCTACTTATTTATATAAAATAAAAATGCTCAGAGTTAATTCTTGTCAGTTGTATAGTTTTTTTATATTTCGAAGTAACTATAGTTTCTTCCAAATATCAGAACTAGACAACTTTGAGATACTGTGTTTGAGAACCAGTCAATGCTGGTTCTCAAACCCCATTCAACTTAACATTTAGACCAGAAAGCAATTTTGTGACACTGTGTTCATTTTTAGAGTCTCATTTAGAGTAAGACCTATAAGTAATATCACTATCTAAAGTCTTTAGACTATGAATTGTCTTCTGTGAGGTAAAAGAAATCATCAGCAAACTACAACAATGACCAGCCCAGCAAATTATCTCTATTGGTGAAATAGTGGCACTGTTTTCTTAGGAGTAATCAATAGGTGTCTAATTGGACTTAAGATCTGCACAATAGGAGGAAATTAATGCATAGTTCTGTAAACATAGCCAAGTACACATGGTTGGAAAAGTCATAGACCCTAGAGAAGAACCTGCTTCTGTCACTTTCCTAGACCAACATAATTTCCTACTATAGTCTAAATATGTATCCTTACATTTACAAACAACTGTACCTCTCATCACTCATCAAAGAAACTTCTTTTTGCAACAGATGAAAACTATTACAAAGTTCCACAACTGGTCAGAATACAGAGAATAAGTGACTGTGAGGTGCCCAACCCTAACTGATACATATATAATGCACCCTCTATACCTGAGCCTCATGGACCATTGGGAAAGATTGTAAGAGCCAGAGCAACAAGACACCTGCTGCTAGTTAATGCGTTCTAGACATGATAGGGAAGCTACACCAATGAAATCCCCACAGTATGGTAGTCTAACAAGATCTGCACAATGACAAAACCAGTTGATATGCCAAGCTAGTTGGGGGAATTTCTTGGGCTCCCACCTCAAGATGAAGAGCTATAGGCAATCAATAGATGTTGAGGAAAGGAAAATCCATTTTCTACAAGGACTAGCTTCCTGAGAGGTAATCCAAGTAGGCAACCCTAAACAGGTACACACATGCACCACTAAATGGACTCAGTGCATTATATACATATATGTGTGTGTGTGTGTGTGTGTGTATTTATGTATGTGTAACAGTAAAGAAGGCAAGAAATTGTGAAGGAAGGACTGGGGGGGTGAAAATAATTCAAATACAATGTGCATATATCAAACAAAAAATAAAATTTTAAGAAGATTTTTAAAAAGTAATCATGGGGGAGAGTATGCCTTACATATGATCTCTAGATGGGCTGACTAGACTCCAGTGGATGAATTTACACTGAAGGGCATCTGGGTACAAATGCTTGACTAGATAGAACTTAACACATATGGCACAATACATGAGGTCCGGTGAGGGGGATGGGGGGGCATGGGTGGGGGAGGGGGTCTAAATTTGATTAACAGTTGTATGTGATTATGAAAGCTCAATTTTAAAAAATCTTGTAGGAGGAAGTGCAGCCTGGGTGGCCAGAGCATGCGCACAACAAGCGCAGTAAAACATCCAGCTGAGGCAAACCTGTGTTCTACCAAAAGACATAGAGACAACTGACCGAAAATGGCCTGATACAGAGAGCCAATGAGGAACAGACACGACCTATCAATGGACCAATGGGACACTGGGAGGGGGCATATAAGGGAGCCCCATATCCTCAATAAACGAGTCTGCAGCTGCTCTCACTGCCTGCTTCTCACCTGACTCCCTGGTGTCTGTGTCATGACTCCTCACCAACTCTACCCCCACCCGGAGGGCCCCAGGACACCCACAACAAAATCTTTTTAAAAAGTAATCATGTGAAAAAAATCAGAGCATGCAGAAACAAAATGTTAAGCAATTAATGCCTGGCATGGTGGCACATGCCTTTAGTTCCAGCACTTGGGAGGCAGAGGCAGGCAGATCCCTGTGAGTTCAAGGCCAGCCTGGTCTACATAGTGAGTTTCAGGACAGCTAAGACTACGGGGAGACCGGCTCCAAAAAAAAGTTAGTAATTAAGAGTAGTGAGCACCTTACACATGACCCACATGACCTTTGGTGACCTCAAAAGGAGCAGGGACAACTAAGAGTGCAGGAGGGTTTGTAAGTGCACCACATGCATGCAATGCCCACAGAAGCCAGAAGAAGGCATTGGATCCCCTGGAACTAGAGTTACAGACAGTTGTTAGCCATCATGTGGGTGCTGGGAACAGAATGGTGACCTTTGAGGAGGAGTGTGTAACCTCAGGAGGCTGTGACCTTTACCCTGGTGGAGTGGGCTTTACTGGACATTTTCCAGAAGAATCTCTACAAAGATGTAATGTAGGAAGCCTTTAAGAATCTGGACTCTGTCAGAATAAAATGGGAGCACCAAGATCTAAAAGATTGCTACAGAAATCAGAAGAGAAATCTGAGACTCCAAGTGGTAAAGAGACTGTGAACATAGGACAGTTGTCAATATAGAGGAATCTTCAGCCTAAATTCAGTCAGGATTGCAAACAAGAAAATACCTGGATCAATGTTTTATAAACATCATATCATTAGTCAGTCATCCCCAAAGAGGAAAATTACATCTGACTCTAAACACAGTCCATGTGATTATGAGAAATAACTAGAGAAATGTTATGAATGTGAAATATGTGGTAATGCCTATGCATGCTCCAGCTCCCTTACAAAACACAAAAAAATGCACAGTGGAGAGAAACCATATAAATGTACACAGTGAAAAAACTTTCATTTATCACCACTGTTCAGAAAGGTACATGCTAACTCACAGTGCAACCAAGCCTTATAAATAGTAAGGTGTGTAAAAAAGCATTTGCTTCTTCCAGTTCCCTTCAAGAGCATAAAACATTTCACTCTGGAGAGCTACCCAAATGTGAGGAATGTGGGAGACTATTCTGGACTTCCAGTTCCTTCATATGCATAAAAGGCTTCATACAAGACAAAAACTCTATGAATGTAAGTACTGTAGGAAAGCTTTTGGGAGTTACTGTGTTGTTACCCTACACGAGGGGACTCACACTGGAGAGAAATCTTTAGAATGTTGGTAGTGTGGGAAAACCTTCAGACATTCCAGCCATGTTCAAGCACATGAGAGAATTCACGCCGGAGAGAAACTATATGAATCTAAGAAGTATGGGAAGACATTGACTAATGGCCATTGTGCTAGAAGGCACTTGGCAACGCACAGTGGAGACTGGCCTTACAAATGGGATATGTAGAAAAGCCTGTCTTTATTTCTATTCCCTTCAAAACCACAAAAAAATGCCACACCAAAGAGAAATCATATATGTAAGCAATGTGGGAAAACCTTTAAATGTTTTGATTCCATTCGAAACCACAAGACCACTCATACTGGAGAGAAACCATATGAATATAAGGTGTGTGGGAAAGCCTTCAGTTGTTCTGGTTACATTCAAAAATCGCATGAGAACACACAGTGGACAGCCCTATAAATGTGAAGAATGTGGGAAAGCATTCTCATATTCCAAAAGTCTTCAAAGACACATGAAAAAAATACAGTTGATTAGAGATGGATGGTGCCAGTAAATGTAAGTAATGTAGTATAATAGCCTTTGTACGTTCCAGCTCTTCATATGAATTTGGGGGGTGGGGAATCACAGTGGAGAATAAGCCTACAGATGTAACATGTGGAAAAGCCTTCAGTCATTTCAGTCACAAATACATACAACAATTTGATGTACTGAAATTCTGTGAGTTTAAAAAATGTTGGGAAACATTCTGACAGTTCCTTTGAGCATTGATGATTCTCACTGGAGAAAAGTGATACATAGAGGACTTGGACACTTTTACACACCACCTTTTTTTTAAAAGAATGTCTTTTATTGCATACATGTACATAATGTATTTTGATTATATCCATCCCCAAGTAACCTTAGACCCTCCTCAACACATCTCATCCCACCCCCATTACCTTTCCTTTTTTCTCTCTTTAAATCACTCTATGAGTCCAATTACTGCTGCCTGCTACAATGTTGGTTTGATCCTGTGCAGGTAACCACAACTGCTCTGAATTTGTGGGTGCAACAACCATGTCATATCCAGAAGACAGCATTTCACAGCTTCATCCCCATCATCCATCTCTTACATTCTTTAAGCAGGGCTATATGAGAGTTTTTAAGATTATTTTGTTATTTTTTGCTTTGAAGGGCAGTTATGCTATGATGCTAAGGTTGTGTCTGAACCTACTGGGTTCAGTCAATGTTCCTGCCTCACTCTTCAACCTAAGTAGGGCCACAGGTGCCCATCACAATGCCTGGACTGTGCATAAATTTAATGTGTTTTCTCTTGCCAGGAAGTTTTACTCGTTCCATTTTAACAGAATTAGATCCATAGTAAGTTGAAATGTAGTTCAAGAGCCAAGAAGATGACTCAGCAGGTAAAGGTGCTTGCTACCAAGCCTAATGACTTAAGTTCAATTCCCAGAGCCCACTGGTGGAAGGAATGCTCCAACTCCTGCAAGTTATCCTCTGACCTCCACACACATTCCATGATGCATGTGCAAATAAATAAATAAATAACTTTAATGAAAAGAAGTTCAGAAAAAAAGTAACCATGTGCAAAAATTTATCAGAGCATTCAGAAAATGTTAAGCACTTAAGAGAATTTGAAAGTCCAAGAGCATGAGAACTGGTTTCTTCAAGGTCCTTGTGGCAAATGGCATTATAGTATTATAAATTATAAATTGACAACCTTACTATAAATATAAGAATACAGCTCTTGGGCCTGGACAGATGGCTCAGTGGTTATTTGGGGGGTGGGGAATCACAGTGGAGAATAAGCCTACAGATGTAACATGTTGGATGCCAACATCCCCACTCCCAGGGGATCTGACAGCCTCTTCTGACCTCTGCGGGCATTGCACAACATGGGTGCACTTACTTACATGCAGGCAATACACACACACTCATAAAATAAAAGTAATAAATAAAAATTTTTTTAAAAGGATACAGCTCCTTTCTCAGTCCTCCTTCAACTACTTTGGGTGAAACATATTCAGTCTTTCCATTATTACATTATATTTCCATTCCTCTACAACTTTGTGTTGTATCTGGAGTTAATAATGGCCTTTTCTTCATTTCATCTCCAAATTCCACCATAGACCTATTAACATGGTCATATGCAATGGGTGGTCTTTCAGTTCTGTGTGTCCTAAGTGTCCTGGCCCCCTCTGTTCTGCCCTTCTATATACTGGCTGTTCTCTGGACCTGAAGCAAGCTATTGGCCTAGCATTTTCCTTTGGGGCCATACATATAGCCAGGAACACCCAACCCTACAACAGGCCGCTGCCATCTGCTGTTTGATACTTATAATTCTAAGCATCAGATGATACACTCTATCAAATGCAATAAAAATCTGGAGGTGAAGTTAGGGGACTAAAATGAATTATTTGAAAATATAAAGCACAAATGTCCATAAAGGACATAAGCAGATAAGCAGTATATGTTATTAAAATTTCATGAGTGGGGACACAAGGAAAGTATATCTAAAAAGGTCTACAGAAGAGTAATTATAAAAAGGAAAAAGATTGAGACACTGAATAGATGTACCTTTACAACAAATATCTCAAAATTTTGTTGCGCCTGTGTGGTTGCTGTTACACATCTCCACTTTCCACGACTCTGGTTTCCATAGCTTTGAACTGAAAGAGCCTCCACTGCTATACACTGCAGCCAGCCACTTTAAAGAGATGTGTGACTCAGTCGGGCATGGTGGTGCACGCCTTTAATCCCAACACTCGGGAGGCAGAGGCAGGTGGAGTTCTGTGCATTCAAGGCCAGCCTGGTCTACATAGAGAGTTCCAGGCCAGCTGGGGCTACAGGAAGACCTTGTCTCAAAAAGACCAAAAGAGAAGGTTGGGGGTGTCACTCTACTGCGAAGATGTGATGGCAGAAATCAGTATCACAGGCTGATATCCTTGAAAAGAAGAAGGGCAGGTATACTCAGTGGGCATATGATGGTAAGGCAGTCTTTTACCGTTGGAGGCACTGGGAGTTTGCTGGATGAGCCCTTTTATCTGAAGAACTGCCGCTGCCAGGAAGCCTGAGAGGCAAGTTATCTTCCTATGTCTGCAGCAGGAGATGACTGTTAGGAGAGGGGGCGTGGGAGTGTACCCATCCATAGCATCTGCCAGAGCTGGGTCTAGAATTCTAAATTGAAATCCATTTTCACTCAAAAATTTGAAAGCATTGCTCCATTTTCTTATAAATTCCTATGATGCTGTGAAGAATGTCACTTTCAGTAGTTAACACGGAAACACAATTGGTCAGAGTGCAGAAAATGAGTGTCAGTGGAGTGCTCAGCCTCAAATGGCATGTCTGTCTCACACCCCCTCCACAAGGCTCAGGACCATCAGGACATATGGTATCTTACTTTAATTAAGAGACAAAATGACGAGACTGTAGAGATGGCTCAGCGGTTAAGAGCACTGACTGCTCTTGCAGAGGACCCGGGGTCGATTCCCAGCACCCACATGGTGGCTATGAACCATCCTTAACTCCAGTTCCAGGGGATCCAATGGCCTCTTCTGTCCTCTGAGGGCATTGCACAACACAGGTGCACTTACCTACATGCAGGCAATATACGCATACACATAAAATAAAAAAAATAATAAATTTTTAAAAAAAG